GCAGGTGGGGTGATATCCAAGGGGGAATATCCTGTAGACAGGAAATCTATAGGGAAGGGGAATGAAGACAGGGGTGGACACATCTTGAGAAGTCATCTGCAGACAGGTGGCAGGTGTCTGAAATGTAAGAACAGATAAGCTCCTTTAGGGGGTAAGTGTTGGAGTAAAACGCCAGGAGGATAGGACTGAGTCTTTTGGGAACCCCACAGCTAATGGCAATGCGGTAAGGGGGAAGGAGGGAGGAGCAGGTCCCACCTACATGCACAGAAGGTCACATGCACACACGGCCATTCTGGGCGTAGGTACCTCCCGGTGCCGGCTGAGATCATCCTCCTTCTGTTCTGTTTCTGAAACTTACTCATTTTTCAGGCACAACTCAGATTTCCACAACCCCAGTTAGAATTTAAACTCTTGCTCGTCTCTGTTACTCCCACATGGTTAGCATTATGTTTGGCACATACTAGGTGCTAAATGAGTATTTATTGAGCTGAACTAAACAATTAAAGAGACAGAGAAAAACTATTTGGGGACGACAGTTAATTTGTCTTTCTGAGTCATATCTTCTTCATTTGGGGGAATGGAATAGCCATTGTTAGGATTAAGTGAGATATGTAGGTAAGATATGTGGGTATTTAGTACAGTGCCTGCAACATGGTTGTTTATTAACCGGTAATTATTATTATTGGCTGGCAATGACCCGTGGAGGTAATATAATAGGAGCCTAAGGTGAAGGATTTCAGGAAAGAAGGCTCAACAGTTCCAAGGCCTTTGTGCATCACCGTTGTACCCTCTTCCTCTGTCTCTGTCACACACATACACACACACGTGTATACACCCATGATGTGCTAAGCAAAATATAAAACTCCTCCACTGGTATCCTCTAGCCCTTTCGCCCTTGATATAAAGAGGAACTTCTTAGTAATATAAATTCGGTCCTACAGTGGTTAGTTGAAATGGCCTTCATGGCTGGTGGCATGATTTCAACATCAAAATTGTTGGGAATTTTGACTCCAGCGAGATCAAGAGCCCACTTGCATGTTTTGTTTTTATTGGATTCTCTAAGTACAGTTGTCTCTCTCGCAGCTTAGAAGTTGCTCTGGGAGAGCAACGTGGTACCCGAGAGTCCTAGAATCAGCAAGCACCACGTTGTTGGGCCAATCACAGGCAGAAATCACTATTCCCTGACACAAACCCCTCTCTGTGATCAAACAAAGCTGCTATGTGGCAGGCCTTCCCAGCAGAGAGTTTTCTCTCCTCTGATGAGACCTGAGAAGGGATGAGGAGACGGAACAAAGACTTGGCATCCGGAGCATGATTGTGTGGGAACGACCTAGAATTTTCAGCGACCTGACAGTTTCCTCTTTCCACAGCATCAACCTCCTGGTCAGCAACTCACTCCTCACCTTTGGGCCTGAGTGTGCAGCCAAGGCCCTGAGTTTATCCCCTAGAACGAGGACTCCAAGAACCAAGCCTCCTGTGGGCAGCTGTGGCCCAGCCCCCTTAGGACTCGGTTTCCCTGGAGGCTGGGCCCATGGGAACTTGCCACCCGCCCCTCTTGTGCTCTCCCTGGTTCTGTCCTTGAATTTCCTTCCTAGAAGCCCAACCTCTTAGGCTCTGCTCTCCGCCCCTTACTCCCCTCCCCCACCTACCAACCCACCCCTTTTCAGGGCATAAGGGACCTTTTCTATTTGCAGATCCTAAAGAAGCTGGTTGCCAAGGTGACAGGAGCAGGAGCAGCAGGGAGCTCGCCACGGGGGAGGGGCTTTGCCCCCAAACAGCTGTCAGTGGGAGCAGTCCCAGCTGGGACTACAGCATTTGCCTGTTCTGGGAGGACATGGCCCCCAGGGGGACACATTCCTCTCCACTATGATCCCCCACTGCCCCCCACCGCAGGTCTCCGCTGGTTACTCTCCCTGGGGGCAACCAGCCAGCCAGCTCGAAAATGCTCCAATAACCAACAAAACCCACCGCCCCCCTTCTCTCTCTCTCTCTCTCTCTCTCTCTCTCTCTCTCTCTCTCACACACACACACACACACACACACACACACTCTCTCTCTCTCTCTCTCTCTCTCTCTCTCTCTCTCTCTCTCTCTTCCATGCGCATGCCCACATGTTCTGATCCCTCTGTTCATTCACAGCGGGTTGGCTGGGCCAGAAGCCAAAAGTTACCTCTGCCTGAGGACCTGGGAGCCCAGCGCAGGTGCTGTTCCAGGCTGCCCCCAGCAGGGCATAAGGATTATTTCTGTCTTTTTTTGTTCCAGAGGCCCTGAGAGGATCTGCAGCATCCTAACCCTCCCCACACTGCCTTCCATCTGGGAGGTAGGGGTGGGGGCGTGGAACCACTGGCTTACAGAGAGGAAAGGGTAGAAGAAGAAGGAAGGAAGAACGGGAGGGGATGGTAGGAGGCAGGAACCATGAGAGGCTCACCGATTTGCGTGATCTAGATGCAGCTCACAGCTGCTCCACGGAAAGTTCTGTGGAACCACTGGTCTCTGTATTGCAGAGAGCCACATACTACTAGTCCCAGGCCATGCCTGGGGCCCTGGACCTCAGCCTGTAACTCACAGGTGTTCACCTTTATAAGATTCAAGAGAAGAGAGCCCTCCACTAGATTCTGTAAACTGCATAACTTAGAACCATCAGGCTCTTTGACTTTTGGGTCGCAAACAGGAAGGCCTAGGAAAGACCCAAATCACTGTAAGAAATGAGAGAGGCAAATACAGCTTAATGACTAAGAACACAGAATCTGACTCAGCCAGACACGGAACTGGTTCCCAGTTCTGCCACACTTATGTGACCTTGAGTGACATATGTAGTAAGTTACTCGGGTAACCTCTCTGAGCTTTCATCTTCTCATCTGCAAAATGGATAAACAAACCTACCTTACAAGGTTCTTTCAAAGGTTAAAAGGGGGTGGTGTGCATAAAAATGCCTAGCATATGATCTAGATTACAGCAGATGTTTTATCAGTGCCCGGTTTTCTCGAGACCCCGGGGCTGCCTAGCACGTTTAGGAAGAACTCGAGAACTGGTCTTTCTTTTGAAGGGTTCTTTGAATCTGGGGGGCTGGCTTTGATCTAGGGAGAGGCTCCATTTTGGCTTGGACGGGAACAGTTCTCAGGAAGTAGGGTTTGTAGGGTTTGTAGCTTGAAAGAGAAGGTAGAAGTGCTAATTTGGGGTCTCACTCTCGTCCAAGCTGCTGTCAACTCACTGTAAGATCCCCAGCCTTAACCCTTTTGAGCCTAGTTTCTTTCTCCATAGGAAGAGGCTGGACTAATCTCGGAAGAAAGCAATCCTGGACAGTGAGAAATATCTGGAACCAGAGGGCAGTGAGGACTCTGTAGGGAGCTGCCTTCCTTAGCTCAGCAGTAACTGTCCAAAGGCAGAGAATCACCAACCCTTTGTCCTTAAAACCTCAAGAAGGTAACTAAAAGACTGTAGCGTAGATTCTTCCTTGCTCACTATTATGACACTTGACTTGTGCTTTCCCCTGTCTTGAGTATCTTCCCCCACTTTGTCTGGTGGGTAAACTACTCATGTTTTGAGACTCATGTGCCATTTCCTCTGAGGGACAGTATCTCTGACCCATGCTCCTGGCACTGAGTTGGCCGCCTGTGCCCACACTTACCTTGGACTTATTCCTCTAATAAAATCTATGAAATTGAATGGATTTGCTTATATGTCCGGCTCCCTCCTTCTGACTGCACACTCATTTAGTTAAAGCATTTTATTCTGGCCCTCTCGGTTAATCTAGTAACCAGCATACACGGGCTCTCAAGAAAAAAAACAAGGCAGGTTAGAATGGGTGGTAAAATGCTCTGGATGAGGACAGAGGGTCAGTGATGGTCTCAGGGATGTGACCAGGGTGATTCTCTCTTTAATGCAAAGCCGTGTAGTCTATCGCTATATTTACTCCTGTGGTCTAACAGCGAGGTCTTATTCCCTAGACTGATAAGCTGGCTTCTAAGGCTTTAAAAAAATTTTTTTAAATTTCTTTATCAGAGAGAGAGAGAGAGAGAGAGAGAGAGAACAAGCAGGGGGAGTGGCAGGCAGAGGGAGAAGCAGGCTCCCCACTGAGCAGGGAGCCTGATGCGGGGCTCAATCCCAGGACCCTGGGATCATGACCTGAGCCAAAGGCAGACGCTTGATGACTGAGCCACCCAGGCACTCCTCCTAAGGCTTTTCTAAGGAAAGACTGCCTACAACAGGCAGAGCTGGGACATTGCTAACAGGCAAGGAAAGAAGTCCAGCCTCAGGGAATGCTGAGTCAGCCTCCTCACAGAATCTGCCTCACAAGTAATCTGGTTATTGTTATTATTTTTTAATCTGCTAGATTTTTTTCTCAAGTGTCACCCTCATTGGCAAGCCTTTCTGGCTCTTCTGCCCGGAGCTAGATAGCTCCCCCGCGCCCCTGCAGTGCCCAGAGCTTGCGTGTATGAGGATCACATTGTCCCGCATTGTACTTGTCTATCTTCCCAGACGGTGCCCTCCCTGAGGGCAGAGCCCGAGTCTCATTTATCTCTGCATATCCAGAACTGGCAACAGAACTGGCACATATTAGTCAACAAATGTCTGTTGAATGATGAGAAAATCAGCTTCCCACTTCCTCCTCTCCCTGTGCGGTGTCGTGTGCATCTGGCTCATCCTCAGAGCATTTTTTTGCTGACCCTCAGAGCATTTCAAAATTGCCCACCTGCCAAACTCCCCTCTCTCAAGGCTAAGAGCTATGACTGTGCACTCCGAGATTCACCATGGTGCCCATCGCGAAGGACTCATTTATTCCAAATGATGTGGATAACCTCTAAAGCTCCTCTAAAGCTAGATGGAGGCGTGGTACAGAACCAGGAGCTGATGAACTGCTCAAGAGTGAAAGAGGGAAGAGAGATGCGGGGCTGGTATCTTAGCATGTCCATGGGAAAAAGGAAAGTCTGAACGTTTCCCCCTCCCCTATTGTCCGCCTGGGTTTTCTGGGATAGGACCCTTGTCCCTGGAGCCCTTACCTGGTGCGACGAGGGGATGGGTGGCCACAGCGGGCGCCATCCGGCTGAGCCCAGCCCGGCCCTCCATGCTCCCCGGTACGCTGCTGTTAGCATCTCCTTTCCTGAGCGGCTCCATCACGCTGTCAGTTATGCCAGGCTTGGCACCTGCGGGGGAACCCTGAGCGGTGTTTCTGCCCTGTGATGGGGTAGGCAGAGGCTGGCTACCACCCGGCGTGGGTTTCAGGGCCAAGCTGGGCAGGACAGGCTGCGTGGGGGTAGGGCCCGAGGCTGCTGCAGTTGGTTGTTGCTGTGTTCGGAGGGTCAAGTTCTGTACCTGGAAAAGAGGGGTCTATAGGAGTCCCGAGAATGCGGGTAGGAGCAGGGGCAACACACAGCTAAGGTAGGGAAGGAATTAGGGATGGACCTAGGAATGGCTAAACAGGACAGCAGGTTGTAAAATCAGAGAGAAAAGAGAGAAAACGAGTTAGGGGCTGAAAGAGGAACCAGGAACAGGTAGAGTTTCTAAAGGGGACAAGAAAGAGTGCTAGTGATTGGATCCATCAGCAGAAGAAATTGAATTCTGAGAAGGGATGACTGCCCAGGCTGGGGCGGGTGGGCTCTCTCTCCCTTCTGTGACCTCCTCTCCTCCCCCGAACTATCAGGATGGGATGCATTCCATTTAGAAAGAATTCCCAGCTACAGCGGGGCATGGGGCTTTCCACACGCAAAAAGGCCAGGGCAAAAGTGGAAGCTAATTGACCAGGGAAGCCACCAGGCAAAGGATCATCTTGTCCTCAGGATAAGGTTTCCACCAGGATCCGCGTGCTTACTCAAGCTGGCCCCTGGTGCCCTCTGCTGGACGCGCGGAGGCTGTGCCAGACTCGCTCCTGACAAATCGGATTCTCTGGCTCCCAAGTGCTCTCCCGGTCTGTAGCTGGGGTGAGGAGGGGGTGGGGGTGGGGATGGGGGTGGGGTGCTGCCCCGCTGCCCTGAGAATCTTTACAGCCACAGCAGTATCTGTGTGCTCCCAGCGGAAGGTGGGGGACCCAGGACTTATCTTTGCTCCCTCTTCCGTGCCATTTTTCCTGAACTAGAGGTGCTAGTGTGTGTAGCCAGAGTGGGATTTTCCACTTGAAAAGCAACACAGAGGTTATACTGGGAAAAAGATAGTAATGACCACCCATTACTGCCAACCGCGTTTGCCTCAGCCTGTTGCTCTCTGACTCCTGATCTACGTTTGAGGGAATGGAGGAGCAGAGTCAAGAGTGGCTGAGGTCTTCTCCATGGGGAATTGATTAAAGAGTCAGTCTGGGAGCATCGGGATGTCCTGTCTCCCCCCGGCTTTCCTAGAAGATCCCAACCTTTCCAAAGAGTCAAAGCGCCTCCAGGCCTGTGCCCATCCCCAGTATCAGTACCCCTCTACGGAGGTGCCCACCCCCCTGCCCTCCCAGCAGCATGGAATCCTCACCTGGGCGGGGGTGGGGGGCCGGGCGGGGGAGCCAGTGCCGAGCTCAGGCTGCACAGTAGCGACGGTGGCCGTGGGCGTGAAGATGAGCTGAGGGGACAAAGGAACAGTGCCGCCTAGGCTCCTAGCTACCTGCACCAGGTTACCTGGCTGGGCCTGGAATCACAGGAAACGAGACGCCTTTTACCTGCCCAACGTGGGCTCAGCCACAGGACAGGACAGTTCAGCCAAGGAGCAGATATGGGGAAAGAGGGAGGCAAGAGAGGGAAAGAGTCCAGGGCGACCACCTGAAAGTCTCAAGAGGCTTGTAGCGTACTGATCCACGCTGGGTAGTGGAGGGGATGGCAGAGGAGAGCCCATCTGGGGATGCACGTTGGGTTTACTTCGGAAGCCTCTGTGAGGAGCTCATCCTAGAGGGGCCAACATTCCCGGGACACCCTGAAGTCACTCTCTCCGTCGCACCCGGGGAGCAGGGGCCTTGGGTTCAGACAGATGCCCCAGGACCTCTTTCCAGGTCTAACTGACTCCTGACTCCAGGTCTGGACCAGAACAGGACCCCCCCCGCACAAGGGATCAAATTAGATGTATTCTTTTCTCGGTATTCAGTCGAATTTAGATTCGGGTGGGGGGTGCAGAGACACCGGTGGCAGAGGAAGCAGGGTGCCTAGAGCCGTGCCATGCCTGCCTCTCCTTCGGTGGGTGCGGGCTATATGATGGTCTCAGCGTGACACTTCCAACCCCACGAGCCTCGTTTGGTTCCCCCGTGGACGTGCTCGTATCTCACAGGCTGCTTTCCCCGAACTCTGAGGTGCACCTATGTCTACTCCTCTGTGCATGTATGCCCTGCGTTGGGGAGGGAGGCAGACAGGCTGAAGGACTCCAGCTGGGTGGCTGAGTAGCACAAGGGAATGCGTAAACTGAAGACAAAGGCAAGTTTGGGCAGGGTCACACTGCGGCCATCCCATTCCCTAGAGAAGTGCAAGTCTATTCCATACTGTGTGTCCCAGGGGCTATTCCCTGGGAATGGAACACCACAGTGAACTCGGAGTCAAGAAGGGAAGTGCTGGAGCAAGACCAGAAAAGCTCCAAGTGTCAAGTTCTGGCCACAGAAGCAAAGGGAGGGTAGGACTGTATTTTCTTCAGGATAGCGTGTCAAGGAGCCGGAGAGAGAAATTTTCAGGATGGGAGACATGAGATCAGACTCAGCGATCCGAGCCTGACAGAGAGCTAGATGTTACTGCCTCCTGGAAATTCTTCCAAATCGTAGGGACCCAGACCTTAGGACCTTTGCATCCCTTAGGGACAGGTGTAGACGAGAGATTCTAGGTATGCAGGTCTGGCGCTGATCCCATCCTGAGCACATGTGGCACATTCAAATAAGCTGAATTAACAGGTGAGAGTGACCCTGATTTGGAAGGGGGCCCAGCTGGGAGAGCAGTGGAGGCAGCAGCATGTCATGAAGTGGAATGCCACCTTCACCACCTGGGCTGGAATTTTCCTTTGGCCCTGGAGCCAGGGGTGGCCAGTCCCTGTAAGGACTGCCACAGGGGGTTAAGACCGCATTTCTGTAGAGTACTTACAGGGACATCTGTGTGTTTGCTTAAGTATCCGCATATACTGACCATCTGGGCACGGACCCCTGCATTTTCTACCCTAATTAATGTGGGGGAGTGGCTTCTGATAAGAAGAGGACAATTAGGGAAGGAAAGGAGGCATCATCGGCAAGCTTCTCCATTTCAGCTGGGCACCCACCCTGTCCTTGAGTCATTGAGCCTGGACCCAAGCTCCCATTGGCCCTCTTGTTTATTCCACCCCTTACCTCCTGCCACCTGTCCCTTGGTGCTCCTTCCCCCCACTTCGCTAATCCCTACCCTCTCTAACCTCCCCGGCCCCGACTTGTCTGCCGCTGTCCTCCTCTTAGCCCACCTGAGCCGTGGCCCAGTCTGGGTACTCACCATCTGTGCCCTTAGGTACATCTGTGCTTGGCTTGCAGTCAGGGCCGGAGAAGACGTGTTGCCCAAGAGCACAGCCTGCTGGGCGATGCCTGAGGCTGTCGCCGAGTTGACGCTCTGCGCCCGGTTGATGAGCTGGGCTGCTGCTGGGGAGGCTGCCAGATTGATCTGAAGAGAGAGACGCGTGCAGTAGGAAGCAGGAGGTTCTGTTGGTTAACTCTGTGCCCCCCTCATCCACTTCTTTCTCTCCCCCTCCTCTGTTCCTTGGTGGATTCAGCCTTCTTTAGGACCATCTCTGGTACTTGGGCCTTGGAGCGCCCCCCAGCACCGCCCCACCTCTGGCCTATGTGGGGAGCTGCAGGGAGGGTCCAATGGGGAAGAGAACTGAACTGTAAACACAGAGCCTGGACGTTGGCATGAAGGACGACAGGGAGTTACTAAAGTAAGGGTTAGAAAGAGGCACATGGTTCCCCCCCCCCCCCCCCCCCCCCCCCGGCCAGAGTGATAGATTCCAGCCATGATTGTATGTGGCTAAGGATTAGCCAGCTGGGTCTGGGAGCCTGCGAGCATCTGGGGCAAGGAGGAAGGAGCTGGTCCCAGCGCTGTGGGCTCTGCCTGATGCTTCCCCATCTACTCACCGAGGATGACTGGGCTGGGGCCTGCGCAGACACACTGCTGCCTGAGGTGCTCCCTTGTCTGTTGGCCACCAGGCTTGCCTAGAAAAGAACAATTCTTGGCACGAGGGGACCAGATCTCCCCCAGTCATTGCCCAAGCTCTCAAAGGAGGTGCTATAGGACGGAGGTTAGGAGTCCAACGCCTACAGTCAAACCCTCATTCTGCCTCATCAGTGTGGCCTCAAGCACCTGCTTCAGTTTCCTCTTTATAAAGTGGGGATAATAACAGAACCTAACTTGTAGCATCTTGGAAAGGATGGAACAAGGCGAAGCATTTACACGCAAGAGCTCAAATCGTTAACTATGATGATCACCTATCTTTCCGGGTCTCTGTAGCCTCCCCGCCACCCCAACTCCACCCTGCTCTATCACACCAGGCTCGTATCACAGAGACTTCTGCACGGGCTCTCTGGCACGTCCCGCCTGCCCGCCTCCCCGCGGCCAGCTTCTTCTCATCCCTCATGTGTCAGCTTCCACGTCACTCCAGCAGACGGACTGTCCCTGGCAGCCCAACCTAGGACAATCCTCTTGTCTCTCAGGCTGTTCTCTTTCAGAGTGCTTATGGCAATCTAGAGATTTAGACATTCTGTTTCCTTGTCTATTTGGGTTTCTGTTTACTTGCTCTCACCTCATCTAAGCTCCAAGAAGGCAGGGTCCACAGTAGACTCAGTGTCTGACATGAACTGTGGCACAGAGTGGGTGTGCGAGACTCTTGTTGAATGAAGGAACGCATGAGTTCCTCTCAGCCACTGAGGACAGACAGGAAGCTAGGTGGCCTTCTCTTGTGGACACCCCCTCGGCCCCTCGGCCCCCTCCGCATTGTGTGTAGTGTGGTGCGGTGGGGAGGTGGGGTCCTCCCAGCCCTTCTTCCTGGGCCCAGCTGGGCGGACAGTTCCACCACTCCACTCACGGGGCCGTGTGAACTTGGGCCAGGTGCGGAACCTCCCACAGACTCTTTCCTCGTCTGGCAAAGGACCATGACCATCGTGCCTGCGCACGGGGCTTCTGTGAGGGTGCAGTCAGAGAAGGCCTGGGGGCACTCGCACAGGGCCTGCCCCTCCCCGCCTCACTGCTGCCACGCCGCCGCCCCCCCCAGACCCCCCCTCACCTGCTGCACGGCCGCCAGGCTCTGGAGCTGGGCGCTGCTGAGGTGCTGCTGCTGGAGCGCGGCCGTCTGTAGCATGAGGTGCTGCTGCTGGGCTGCATACATCTGCTGCAGGTACTGGGCCGCTGTGCTGGGCGGCCTGTGCAGCGCCTGCTGAATCACCTAGGCCGGGCGGCAGGGGGAAGGCTGCGCTGTGACCCGGCTCGCGGGGTGGGGGGGCCACCCCTTCTGCCGCAATGCTTTGCCAGCCCCATCTCCCCCTAACTGCTCAGGGCACCCCAGGTTGGTGAGCAGCACGGCAACGTGTCATCACGCCCTAGGGAGCGGGAAGACGGTGGGCTTTCACACCGCATACTCCCCTGCCCTCGTCTGTCCCGCACATCTTCAGCTCGTGTTCTCCTCTGTTCCTCCCCAACTCCATCTGCTTCTGCGGCCGCCGCCCGCTTGGGAAAAGTCATCGCGGGATACCGCTGCTCTGACGGGCTCTGGGTGGTGGGGAGGCTCGGGGAGATAGCAGACAGCAGGGAGAAAGCCTCCAGTGATGCTGTGTCCCGTGCCAGGCTTGTTCACCACCCCCCCGGCCATTCCCCGTCCTCAGATTCGGGGGGGCCAGAACACTGGACGGTGATGGCAGGGAACCGAAGCTCGATAAGGCAGAGAGCAGGAAAGGGGTGGGAGAGAGAGGCAGGTCCCAAGGGGGGCCTATTGCAGCCTTAGCAGCACAGCCAGCAGTGGAAACTTACCCAAGGGCAGCCCCCTCCCGGCTGGGGCTGCTTCCCAGGTCTGCCCCCAGCTGCTGGAGAGTCCTAGCAGTCCCTTAGAAGAAGGTCCCGTTGGCCTTGCAGAGCAGGCCGGTGCCACAGGGATGATGCATTTCTCTTGTACTCTTTCCCTCCCCCTCTCCATCGGTCCCTCTTTCTGGCCACCATCACTTTGCCTTACTGCTCCTCCTTTTTCTGGGTGGGACTGGCCCAGCCACTGTCTCTAGGAAGCGACAAAGACTGCCTTTGATCCCCCCCACCTGCTCTTCACTCCTGGTGTCCCAAAACCTCCCCTCGCCCCCAGGAACAAAGAAAAGTGAATGCCTTTCACCCAGCCCTGAGATCTTCTGTCCTCTTCTCAGCCCCACAGAGAATTCTCTTCCCTTCTCCTTGTCTGGTCACCCTCCTGCCATCTCTTGCCGCCTGATGATCCCTGTGGGCCCTGGCCAGTCTTTGGCCCACTTGCTACCCTTAGACCTGCTGCAACCCTGGCCATGGGGCTTCTCCCAAACCTGGGTCCTGCCCGCAACAAGCAAGCATCCAATCTGGCTCTCTCTGGCTTAGCCTGACTTCTAGGGCTGGTGGCTCTAGAACAAAACCATCTGTGAGCTCAGATTTGGAGTTCTGTGAAAACAGGCTAATATCACAGATTCTTCATGGGCTCTGGGGTCTCCTGATTCTCCCACCCCAACCCAACTCTTCAGATCCCACGCCCCTTTAGTGTTCTCTCTCCTCGGAGGGTCCTGGTTTATACAAGCACAATTCTGTTTATTCCTTCTTCTCTCCCAGAATTCTTTCCTCTTATTCCCTTTACCCGGGCCTCTCTCTTTCCCTTAGACTCCCGAGTACCTCCCTGCAGTCCGGACAGCAGTAGCAGAGACACCGTGGCTCTTCCTCACCAGAGGGCCGGTGTCAACGAGTGGAAAAGGCAGGAACCCTGAACGACCCTGCTTGGGTGCGCAACGCAGCTCTGGGGGATTCCATCTGCCAGTGCAGAAAAGCCCAAATCCCTTGCGTAGAGACTTGTGATGAGGGATGGGAGGACGGCACATCCTAACATGGGCTGCTAGAAGCTGGGCTCAAACTCTCATGTTCCGAGGGGCTGGGAAGAGGCTAGGTGTGAGGGGTGGCAGGGATGGGTTCAGGAAACATGGTTTTTACTCCATGGGAGGCAGAAGTAACCCAGAGAGGGAAGACTCCAGGGTATCTCCTGGGGTCTTCAGATGCTCTCGCTGCCTGCCGTGACCCGCCTTCTACTCCCTAACCTGGGCCAGGCGCCAAAGCAGGATGAAGTCACTTGTCTGGTACAGCATGCTGGACTAGCACCGCTCCTTGGGGTGAACACTTCTCAGCGGCAGTGTCTGTCTGTCTTATCTGGGGACCTCACACAGACACAGGGTTGAGGGGAGCATGAGGTTCAGCTTTTTTTGTCTTCACCTGAATGACCTGGACGAGTCTCTACCTTCTCTGAGCCCCAGTCTTCTCGGCTATGGAATTGTACCTGTAACAGCCATTTCTAGCTGGGGGAGAAGATAAATCTGCAGTGATTTTTGTACCACGTAGGGCACAAAGCAGATGGCGAGACAGGGGCACGGCTGTGTGGGGAACCGGGTGTCATCACCCAGAAGGCCTCAGGGATGACACTTAGCAGACGGCTGCTTTAGGGAGACTGCTTTGGGGCTCCTTTTTCGTCCTCTGTCTAAGAAACTTCGTTTTATTACAGGGCAATGGTTCTTCAGATAGTGGGTCTAGGTCATGGCTGAGTGGCTCCTTATTGTTTTTTCTGCTTGTCATTTTTACTTGTTCCCAGCCCCCTAGCCTTTTCACACTTTCACACGCCTGTCCTCCCAAACAGCACTCTGGGATCTGAATCACCAGGTGAGATAGGAATTTTCCAGATCTGCGAAGTATCCCCACTCTCCCCGAACCCCCTTGATCGGACCCGTCTAGCATCACTTCTCCTCTAACTGTGCCTAAGTATATATCCACGAACACACTCCCCCATGCCCATTCTAGATTCCACAGCCCAGCTGCTCCACCAGCCCATGCAGACCCGTCCTCCCGCTAGCCCGGACACGGTCCAGGAGTACGACCTCAGAGCAGCCAGAATCTTACCTGCACGGTCTGCCGGTCAGGGATGCCGCTGTACACGGAGATCTGGGGCCCCGAGGGCCGGCCACTCCCACCGCTGCTGCTGCCGTAGCAGGCACTGCCGGCGCTGCTGGACGTCTGGGGGACTGGCAGCTCGTTCTCCATGGCCTGCGCGGTATGGCACAGTCAGGGCGCTCCGATGGCAGAAGGGCAGGCGTGTGCTGGGTGCGAAGAGGCAGAAGTGAAACGTCACACAGATGCCTCCCAGAGAACCCACACGTACGCATCAGCTTCCCATCAGCCTGGGGTAGGACCGCTTCTCCGCTGAGGCCTGAGGCGTACCTGCCACCGCAAGGAACAGGGCCAGGTGTGGCTCACAATCAGACCCGCCTGATGTTAAAGTCTATGACCTGGGGGCGCCTGGGTGGCTCACAGTCGGTGAAGCGTCTGCCTTCAGCTCAGGTCATGATCCCCGGGATCCCGCATCAGGCTCCCTGCTCAGCGGGGAGTCTGCTTCTCCCTCTGCCTCTGCCCCCACCCCGGCTCGTGCTCTCGCCCTCTCAAATAAATGAATAAATAATCCTTAAAAAAAAAAAAGTCCATGACCTGGCACTCCTCCTTCTGCTGAAGGAGCTAAAACCAGCCAAGGAGGCGGATTTCCTCCAGTGGCCTTCCTGCCAGTGATCTTAGGGGTCATCTCTCCCCCGCTGTCTACGCTTTCACCTTTGGGATGGAGAAATTGGGCATCAGAGAACTTATTATGTGTCTGTATGTATAAAGCCAATAAATGAAAGAGATGGGATTCCAAGTCTGGAGGGAACAGAATGAGAGAAAGAGACAAATGCGGCAGTAAGATGAGCTGGAGTGTTTATTTGGTTGTGTCGTTCCAGGCCCAAAGAGCAGCCAGTGTGTCTGGAGTCTGTTTTCTCGATGAAGTAGTGAGTGAGTGCCCTCTGATCTGATGCTGAGCAGGGCACTGCATCACGTGGTGTGGTTAAAACTGCAGGTTTGGGGATCCGAAAGACTTGGGCTTGAGTGCTGGCTCTGCCGCTTAGTAGCTGGGAAACCTTGGCAAGTCACACTTCTCCAGCCTTCTGTCTTGATCTGTCAGATGTGAGAATACATGAATTGGTGAGAGAAGCAAGTCAAAAAAGGATACAAAGTGCTTAGTAGAGCGTCAGGCAAATACGGAGTGCTCCCGAAGGCTGACTGTCGTTGTGGTTATTAAAACTGTCTCCAGTCCGGTTCCAATAGATCAATCTTCTTCCAAGGTACAACTGGCCCAGCCTCCTGGAACCTTCTATCCCGGTCACTAAAGGGTGCCAGGAATTCCCTCAGGGACCATCCTATGAGCTGGATTCAGAACTGGAAATCACACATAGCCTTGAGACACGTGCTGGGGAATGAAGGGGCTGGAAGGGAAAGAAGGGTGGTGGGAAAGGCAGACCCAGGTCCGAGGTCAAGTTCCTCTCTTTCTTCTTTCATGCTATTCCTGAAATTCTCATTTCTCTATATGAGCTTTTCCTTCTACCTATTCTTTCCTATATCTAGAAACGACACTTGTCGTCCCATCATAAACACTGAATTCTCTGCTTGCAGATTAGGCTAATTTAAGAAATGAAAAAAATAATGATTTTTTATACTGATGAGAGCATTGGTTAGTACCCAAAACTAAAATAGTCATTAATGTCCTACTGTCTTCTTCCCAACGCTGCTCAGTGTGGAGGTGGTCAACATTCCACAGGCTGCCTTCTTCTGACCGGGTGGGTTTCACAGTGAGCCGAACAAAGTGGGGGTAAAGGCTAACGGACAGGAACGTGTGGGTCCTGGGTCCCTGAGCAGTGATTTTCCCTAATGTTTGAACGTCTGCTTTCACTGCCACAGGACAAGGCTCTTGTCATGAGTCCCTTTTGTCCAGAGCTGCACTCAGGGCTGGGCCTCATTATGGCCATCATCGTCAAAGATTCTTAGGATGATAACAACGATGCAGGAATCAATGAAACCCCAGAGTCGACAAATATTTCCCGTGCTCTGCTCAGTTGTAAGCTATCTTATCTTATGTTCTAGGGAGGGACAGGTAGGCTGGATAGGAAGGAGTACAGGCCTAATTGCGATCTTGTGGAAACCAACAAACTGGTTGTAGAGACGAGGCTCAGCTGAAATGTCAAGGATCACCACCAACAAATCAGAGTTATGTTCAAACACGGGATATCCCATAGAATCCCAAAGTCGTCTTTTTGTGAAATACCTTTCCCAGAATGTTGACCAGGATTGGGTTCAGTTCTTGCTTTCATTCTGCCCTAGGACAGTTCACTGGAAGTACTTACAAACGTAAAATGTAAAACGGGGAAACAGCTGCAGTCACAGCAAACTGAAGACAGAAGGAGTAATCCACACGTCCTAAATGGCAGAGCCTCAGCTCTATTTTATTTTCCCTTTGCAGCAGCTCTGGCAGATCTCGTGCACAGTGTATACTCTGTCCTTGTTGAGAAATAAAACAGGGCAAAATCCTAACGAGAGCATGGCACTCCTGTATTGAAAAACCACACAGGCAAGGACAGCAACTGCCCCTCATGCTGGGGTAGGAGACTTAGCAACATGGGGACAGACACAGTGCGTTTCCTGAACTCTCTTACCCTGCCTGTCTCCTTCCTCCTGCCGCTAAGCACGCCTTTCCCTTCTCTCTTCATTCTTGCATTCTTGGCTTCTGCCCCGCCCCCCGCCTTTTCTGTCTCATTAATTTTTGCCCCCAACCCCTGGTTTTCGGGTTTCCCTGTTCTTGGTTCCTGTCCCCTGTCCCTATCCTCTGTCCGACCTGTGCTTCCTTGCCCTGGCCCCATCCTCCTCCATGGGGAGGATCACACTTACCTCGACGGGTGCCTTGGCTCTGGACGCTTTCTCTCTCTGACTCTGGAACACGTGCATGCATCTCCCCCTCCCCGTCCCCTCTCTCTTACCCAGGTCCCATTGATCCTGAGTGGTTGCTCCAGTTTACTGTAGTGAGCTCTCTCTCCCCATTCCTGACCTCTGCTCTCTCCCCAAACTGGGTCCTAGCCCTGCCGCCTGCCCTGCCCACGATGGCCCTTGCTCTGCAGTTGGCTCACTCTGTGTCTGCCTCCCTTGCCTCCCACGCTCTAGCCCTCTCTTCTTGTTTGTGCCTGAGGATATCTCTCCCCCAGGCCTGATCCAGCATATTCTCTCACCTTCATTCAAGTTCATGCTCTAGATAGTGCATGCGCCCTCTGCCTCCCTCCCTGGGCCAGCACTCCCTGTTCTAGCTCAAGGTTTGGATAGCTACAGCAGTCTCTCAAGTGTACGCTTCCTCTTTGGCTCTCTCTCACTCACTCATACAAAGCAGAGGAGGGAAGTACAGACTGCCTAGGAATCAGGGAACACTTAAAAGGAGAAGTAACATTTGAGCTGCCTGAACCCACACTTTCTCGCTTTCACTGCATAAAGCTGCCCTGTCCCACCTTCCACTCCTTGTCAGTCATTTCTAGAACCTTTCGCAATCAACAAGTTCCTGGCTCCCCCCAGATATGAACATCTATTGGGCATCTACCACATGCAGGGTATTCTTGCTAAGTACTGGGAATAGATGAGGTAGAAGACATGAATCCTCATTTTAAGGTTTTCACTTTTGTGGGCATATCCAAAATAGTGAAACCTAAAGTCTTTTGCCCCAGAAAAGAATGCACAGAGACACACAAAAATGTACTTGTAATTATAGAGGTTAATGAATCCTTTGAACCCTGTCCATTAACTCTGGACTAAGAAGCTCTGCTTCTTAGCTAGGTAGAAATCGGGCAGGAAGTACAAATTTGAAGATAAAAATATTATTTGCTACCATATGCCAAGTTTCAGATGAGTGACTGAGACAACATTTGCTAGTGTTGCGAAAAGTGAGGCATAAGGAATGTGTGCAGTGGGGTAGATGGACAGTGGAGGAGCTACTCCAGGCTTTGTGAAGCCCGGATTTACGCAGCTGCTGGATAAACAGTCAATGCTGTAAGGTGAACAGTGCCCAACCTCTCCCTCTGGGCATTCTCCAGTGGCTCAATTTTCCTAGGAGAGGCAATGCATTAAAGGAGAAAGAGCTGGGGATTAGAAGGTGGGTAATCCTAGCTTTGGGAATACCAGTGCAGTGTTGCCATTGTATAGCCTTGGGCAAGGCAGGCTCTCTTGAGTGTTGGTTCCCTAATCACAACACTGGGTAGTAATAATACCTGCTGAGGGGGTGGTGGTAGTGGGGTGTGTGTGTGTGTGTGTGTGTGTGTGTGTGTGTGTGTGTGTGTGTGTGTGTGGATTCATCTCTGAGTCTCATTCCACTTTTCTAATCGTATACAGGCATGCCTCCAGAGATATTGCGGGTTTGGTTCCAGACCACCACAATGAAACAAATATCACAATAAAGTGAGGTGGATGAATTTTTGGGTTTCCCAGTGCACATAAAAGTTATGTTTACGCTCTACTGGAGTCTGTGAAGTATGCAACAGCTGTATGTCTAAAAACATGAGGTACATACCTTACTTAAAAACTGCTTTATTGCTAAAAATGCTGACCATCATCTGAGCTTTCAATGAGTTGTAATCTTTTTGCTGTAGGAGGGTCTTGCCTTGATGCTGATGGTTGCTGACTGATCAGGATGGTGGTTGCTGAAGGTTAGCGTGGCTGCAGCAATTTCTTAGGATAAGACAACAGCGAAATTTGCTGCATCGATTGGCTCTTCCTTTCACAAACCATTTCCCTGTAGCATGTGATGCTGTTTGATAGCATTTTACCCACCATAGAACTTCTTTCAAAATTAGAGGCAATCCTCTCAAACCCTGTTGCTGCTTTATCAACTCAGTTTATGTCTTACCCTAAATTCTTTGTTGTCATTTCGACCTTCTCCATAGCATCTTCACCTGGAGTAGATTCCATTTCAAAAAACCACTTTGTTTGCTCATCCACAAGAAGCAATTCTTCATCTGTTAAAGTTTTATCATGAGATTGCAGCCATTCAAATATAATAATGAAAAAGTCTGAAATATTGCAAGAATTACCAAAATGTGACACAGAGACACAAAGTGAGCAAATGCTGTTGGAAAAATGGCACCAATAGACTTGCTTGACACAGGGTTGCCACAAACTTTGATTTGTAAAAAACACAGTATCTGTGAAGC